TGCTGCAGCTCCGCCTCCAGCTGCTGCTTGCGCCTCTGCATCGCGTGCTTCTCCTTGTCCAGCTTCTGCGCCCAGCGACCGCTGAGCCCCGGGCCGGGTCCCTCGGCCCCTGTCTGCGCCTTCCTGGGCAGCTGAGCGCCGCCAGCCTCTGGGAGCCGGGCTGCCTCCAGCCGCTTCGCGGTCACCGCCGACACACAGTCAGCCTGCAGCTGCCGCACCCTGGCCTCGAGCACTGTTGGGGACAAAAGGTGAGGATGTCAGGGGGCCCTGTCCTGCCCGGATCTCCCCAGACCCTGCCTGCTGGGAGGAGGCAGGCCGCTCTTCTCACTTGCTCTGGAGGCCTCATTTCTAGGTATTCAGACAACTTCCCCACGTGGGGCTGATGAGTATGTGAGCCCCACACGCCCTCACACTCAGTGTCCCAGATGGGTTCCTGGTGTCCCCTCCACATCCCCGTCACTGCGGCTCTCTCCTTCCACGTGCTCAGCCCACGATCCAGGGCATCTGCACGGCTCTCCCTCCACATCCTGTGGGTCACATATCCCCAGGGCTCTGTCCTCAGAATCGACCCAGGTGCTCCCGCCACCTCCCACTGTGCCCCCACTCACTCCCTCAGCCGTAATGGCCTCACAACCTTCCCAAGTGCTGTGAACCCTGAGCCACTGCACCTGGGGACACAGGGCTCGTGAAAGCCTCTGGTCACCCTTCTGCCAACTGATCAACACGTAACCTTGTTTTCTGTGCGTTTCTGTTTTAGACACCTCATGTCACATATGCTGCTGACTGGGTAACATCAAGCTCACCGCCAACGACACGCGTGCCTGAACGAACTGACCTAACACACGTATTCTCTCCCAGAGGCATGGCACAGCCTTCCTGCGAGACACGGCAGCACCTCAGCTGTACGCCTGGGGCCTTAAACAGCAGTGTCACCGACAAAAAGCACAAAACACAGAAGCGTGGCGCCAAGTCACCCTGAAAGGGACACCAGCTTACATGACGCACAGGAAGAAAGCAGAGCCCTGCCCCTCCCCAACGGGAGCGAGCGCATCGGGAAACGCCAGCGCTCACGGCCAGCGCCCTGAGCACCGATGTTGGGGCTGTGGATAAACTTCGACTGGCAGGCGACTTTGCAGATATGCAATCCGTGGCTGAACTATATGTCTCCTACCTCTCCCTGTCACCAGAACATCAGCCCTGGGAGAAGAGGCCCAGCACACAGCAGGGACTCTGGAGAGATTCGTGGAAATAAAGACGGCTATGAACTCAGCCCCTAGAGTGGCTGATAGACAGAGGCACTTTGAGACACACAGGAGATGGTAGCAGGCTGGAACGCATAGAGGAGGAAACGAGGCAGACAGGAGAGGGGGCAGGGACATCTGAGCTGCCCTAGGAGATGAAGAGGCACCAGCTCTGAGGAAGGCAGGGACCCTGAGGCGGCCCCCGCTCCTCCAGGAAGAGGCTGAAGAGGCAGGCGCAGGCCTGAGAGTTTGCTCTGCACAAGAGGGCTTAGGCTGGACAGTGCCACTGTGTGATTTGGATTCCCAGAACATTCCTCTGGTTGAATGATATGGTATCTGAGCTTTGTTTTAAAATAATTAGGTGCATAAGAAAGAAGAGAGGGTGGCTGTGGAAACTTGGGGTACTTGTGTGCTTGCTTCTGAATGTGTAAGCTGCAGAAGATGTGTGTGTTGCAAATGGTTCTTGGAAGAGACACCTTGACAAATCATTTTATGTGCGGTCACTATAAGACTAGCATGGATAGCTAAGTCAGGTCCATTCTGTATGAGAATATACATGTGAACTCTGGCCAGATCTTTAACCGGGTCATTTTTAAGTCTTTTGTCATTTACAGACAGTTACTGTTTTACTCTGATGCTTTTACAAAAACGTTTCTACAAAGATGTTTCGTCTTCAGATACATTCTCGGGGAAGATCACACTCTAAGATCCAGATTTCTGATTAACTTTCAAATCACAAGGTTTACCGCACCCTAAGCAAAAACCGGATCCACCAAACTGCCAACAGAAAGATCTAGACCAAAGGAATTAACCAAAAGGGACTAAAGGAACTGATGAGGATGATTATAATCTTTATGACTTTTTATATGAAATATTACTGGGTTTTGATTCCTGTTTTCCAGATAGAATTTTTTTCCTCCTCTGCTACCTATGACCCCTAGCAATTTGGTTAATTATACCTTCGTAAAATTGAAACATTTATCTTTTCCTTCCTACCGGATCCCTCTAAAATACCAGATGCTCTTAACGCATCCACGAGCGGCCACAGTGCCGACTCTCAGGTTCAAGTTTCCCACTGTAAGGAGAGCTCCGACACCTGACGGGGCTGCTTGACCGACAGAGGCTCCACAATGCAAACCGCTAGGAAGTTGAGCGATGTCTGCTGCGGGCAGCTGACCTGAGAGTCCGGACCAGGCCCGTACAGTCCACACCTTTTTCCTTAATTCTCACAAATAGTATGAGAGGCCACACGCTCACTGTGGTAGTTATTGTTTCTCTTTTCCCCTTAATTCCTGACTGGGGGAGATAACTCAACTTTGGGCATCATCTTTAAACCTATACTACACAGGTCAAAACATGCAACTAGTTACACACGTAGTCAAGGTCAAACCCGGCAATGTCAGCCCCAGTGAAGGTACCAGTTTTGGAAGAATGCTTCTTCCTTGGGCGGGTATTACAACTGACCAATACACGATTAGAAACTTATCCAAAACCTCAGAGGAACCTGCTGGAGCCACCATCAAAACAAGAGCCTCCAGGAAAACCCGAAGTTCCCTTGCACGTACATTAGACGACGCCCTGGCTGAGCAAGGTGGGGTTTGCTCTGTCGTTAACACTTCCTGTTGTAGTTGGATAAAACACTTCTGGTAAAATGGAGATGGACCGCGATCAAATCCAGGCACGCACCAGACGGCTGCCTACGGGGCCTGCCGACACCTCACGGTTCTCCAGCATCTTCAGCTGGGAGCGCGCAGGTATCGCCCCCCGGTTCGGATCTAGTCTTCAAGGGGGACTCAGCATTTTGTTATTAGAGAAGTTCTTGCTGTCGTAAATCCTGTTTGCTTTGCACGGCTCAGTGTTATAAAGACACCACTCTAATGATGGTTGCTCAGCATCGAGATGATCACTAAGGCCTCTGAGACGTCATGAGACACTCAAACATGACAGCAAACACTTCCTCTGTGCTGGGGCTCTTGCTGCTCCAGGGCGGCCTGAGAAAGCACTATGTGGGACGTGACACGGCAGGAATGAGCCTTCCTGGTGACTAGGGACCGACGATGGCATGGCACACCCCAAATGAGCCACCTGACAACAGGGGACCGATGACGCTTTAGTAACCGATCAGTTTTGCTTTCCAACAATTGATCGGCAATTTTTTCAAGGAAAGATCTTGAACATAAGGGGAGAGAACTGGGGAGAAAACGCACAAAAAACAAACGGAGCCGCTTTAAAATGGAGCCAGGGCTGCCGATCCGGAGGAGCTGCCTGGCCCGCCTCACGCCTTGGACCTTTGAGAATGTTAACACGGGCAAAGCGACGCCGTGTCCCACAGAACTGTTTGCAAGGATGACAAGAAAGCAGACATGATGGCTACTGGACTGAAAATTAAGAACGCTGTTGAGAATCGGCGTCACTCTGTTGTGTTATCTGCACCAACGGCAATGACTACCTTCTGTGGATGTCATTGTCCCCCATTCCTTTCTCATAAACACCCATGGCCTTTGTCGCCTAATCAGGACACTGGGTTTCTGCCTGAATCAGTGACTTCCAAATAACAATTCTTACAGATCTCAGATAAACGTGTGTTGCCTCTCACTTTGAAAGTCTTTTTTATTTTTAAGTTACCAGTCCCATCTGGCACCCAAGAGAAAGCCAAGCCAGGGCACACACGGGTCAGTTCAGGGTTCCAACCCTGGCTCTGCAGCTGCGTGTGGCCTCGGGCCAGTTTCACCAGCCAGTTTGGGGCCTCGCTTATCTGGAAAGTAGGAGCACCTGCTGGGCTTTGCGGAGGAGGGAATGACAAGCGCTCACCGCACCAGCACTGCGGTGGGCCCTCGGGACCACCAGAGAGGTGGGGACTGTTAGTTACACTGCTTTACAGGCTGTCACGCTTTCTTCTGGGGTCATTGTGAGGAAACAGGGAGGTGACCTTAGCAGAGAGGCCAATGCGGGGTGGGGGGGATAGTGAGGAAGGGGCTGCAGGCCCCAAGCCTTATGGCTCCAGCTCACCCTCCAGCAGCTCCGCGTGGCCCCAGTCCCTCCGGCGCTCCTGCTCACAAGGGCTGGCGGACGAGCTCCCCCTGCAGCCCCAGACGCTACCCAGGACCCCTGCAGGAGAGAGAGGGGCGCTGAAGAAGGCCACGTCCCTGGGGCACCGCACGTGGACACGGGTGACAGGCTCCTGGGGCAAAGAAGCCCTAAATCCAGCGGATACTGTCAGTGCTCACAGGTCTCACACTGGACAGAAACCAAGAGGTCAAAGGTGAAGGGGACCCCGCAAGCAGAGAAAATCAGGCTGAAGGATAGAGGATAAAGGGCTCCTCGAACTGAAGGTACAGCGAGTTCAAATGTCAAGAGCCCTCGATAGCAAATATGGGTCAGGAGGCTCCAAGGGGAACCAAAAGTCAAAGATCAAAGTTTCCTGCCGAGCTCCGTCAAGAGAGCGGGCCAAGGGCGAGTGACAGCTGGGTCGAGTCAGTGGGTTCCCTAGAACCGCAAAGGGCAAAGGTCAGGGGTAGCTAGATCCCCCGGCCGAAAAGCCAAAGGTCACGGCCAGGTTTGGAGTGGGGGGAATGGCTGCGGCCACGGCGTCGTCCCCCTGGCCTCCCCCGCGTTACCTTCCTCAACCAGGAGTCCAGAGCGGCCCGCGGGCCACAGGGCCCAGCCGAGCTCCGCCGCGCCGCGGCCCCAGCGTAGTGCCGACATGCCGACCGCACGCGGACCCACCGCCCCACCGCCCCGCCCGCTCCGCGCCTGCGCCGCCCGCGCCTGCCGGAAGTTGTAGTTTCACGGCCTAGGCGGCTGCTAAAGAACTCCACCCGGAAGAGAGCCCTCGGACCACAAATCCCAGCGGCCAGCGGGGCCCCGGCAGCGCGAAGGCATGCGCCGACACAGCCCCTCTGATTGGTTCTTTGGCCTGTCAGGGAGGGGCGGGATAGAACCGTTGCTCGGGCAACACGGGGGCGACTGTAAGCCGCCTTTGGGAGAACCCAGAACCGCGATTTTTTCTGGTTGTTGCTAAGGAATACCGGCCTAACAGTTAGGACGGCGTTCTGCAATTTAGAGATTCCTGTTCGCAGTCTTCATTAACCCAACAACAACTTTGGGGCAATAATTATTACTTTCCCACTTACTTGTGGAGGAAGGTGGGGTTCAGAGAGAGAAATCAAAGTTACCCAAAGACACAGCTTGAACGGTAATCAGGGAGACTGGAGTGAAAGCCCGGATCTGTCTGACTCCCAGACAGATGTGCTTGGGTCGCTTCCCTAGACATTACCCACATCCACACCTCTGGCCTCAGTTTACCCACTGTCCCATAAGTTCCCAATGACAGGGACAGAGTGGGCAGAAAGGGTGGACTAACCTAGTAAATTGAGATGACAAATGGAATGAGATCATCCCTGGAGCCTGGAGCTTCCCAGCCCCGGCCTCCAGGGCCAGAGCTTTAGAATCAGCCCAGGAAGACGTGCCAGTGCCCACAAAGGTCGCTGCCCTCAGTGCAGTGCCAACAGGGACTGCTCTGGTGAACCAGATCAGGTGTAGCCAGTCAGGTGTTACAGATCACTCTACCAACAGGAGAAAATGTAGCCAAGCACCCTGCTTCGGTAGAGGTGACTTACCTAGAGAAGAGTGTGCCTGCCCCAGGTTCCGGATTGGTCCATTTCCATGCAAATAAGGATTCCAAGTTTGCACAGTAGTTTGATTGGTCCATATTGCACTGTCGTGATTGGTCAGTGGCATGAATTCTGCTTGGTCATTAATTATGCAAATGAGGGTCTTATTGCACAGCCCCGATCATATGGGGCAAGTCTTCAGCCCATTGATCACATTTGGATTATAGGAGCTCTCCTGTAAGGGCCCACTCAGCCGGTGGCGGGAACTCAGTGCAGGAGGCTGGTAGCCTATCCGTGGCTTTCAGCGGATATGCAGCTTGGGGGAGAGGCTCCTGTAGACCATGGCTGCTGGACTCTGGTTATGAATTTGGGTCTGATTAACCACAAAGAGTGCTTCCTAGCAGGTATATTTCTTCTCGGAGGTCAGCACCACCTATCGTTCAGTTGGGGAAACAGAGGCCAGGGGAGGGGAGCACCTGGTCTGGGATCCGCTGGCATGTGGAGGATGAGAATAAGAATATGTGGGGTAACCTGTTCCAGGCAAGGGTCGTAAAAGTGTACAGGCTCTGAGGCTGGAACAAGCATGGAGAGTCGGGTGAACTTGGGCAGAGTTGGGGGGGGTCGGTGAAAGGGAGCAGAGACTATGCTACACGGGTGCTCAGGGGCCAGACCACCGCAGGCCTAGGGGCCTCAGCTCAAGCTGCCACCTGTCCCCACATATTCAGACTTCAGTTTCCCCAGTCTCCCAGAGTGCAGGCCAGACCTGTGCTCCGGAAGGGCCAGACTCCTGGGCCTAGAGGCCTACTGACAGCGCATTTCAGATGTAGCTGCCCACTTGGGCCTGTGCGCTGTGAGGCACAGTGATGCCACCGGCTGGGAATGTTTTCAATAGACTGCAGTGTCCTCCCAAACCCACCCAACCCGCCCCCAAGAGCCCTGGGGGGCACTGACCTCAGTCCTGACTCACACCTGGGGTTGCCTTCCTGGCTCTGGGGTGGGGGGGGCCTGAATCAGCTGAGCCTAGTCCCCCAAGACCTAGAGACACCCTCTTGCATTCCCACAGTCAGGGAGAGCCAGGAACATGGGCTGGATGCCAAGACTTCTGGATTCTTTGCCTTTACTTACACATCGGTTTTGTCTTCTGTGGGACCTCAGATGCCCTAAACCCGTGTCTCTCCAAGAGTTAGGTTCCTGGACCTTGGCAGAGGGAAAGCTATTTTTTCAGGTCCTGATCAAACATTGGCGGGGGTGCAGGGGTGGGGACAGTCTCACTTAACCCTAAACCAGTTCTGGTTTAACTCGTCTTGGCTCCCCAGTTGTGACCCTGTGGATCCAAAGATGTCACCTTGTTCCTCTTGTGTTTCTATTTACAGCTGATTGTCAATGTGTCAATGTATGGCGCTGACTTTCCACTCTTGATGGCGACATCGAGTTTCCTTGTAAAGCTTAATCAAGAAAAATATTAATAACACACAAGGCAGGTGAAGACAGCTGTAATTGAATGGGAAAAACAGCGTCAAGAGGTTGGAGTCTGGGCAACACTGTTTCAGAAACTGTGTGTGTAAGGTTCTCGCCCAAAATGTTTTGTCCAAATTGAGCCAGGAGACATTCAGGTGAACGCGGGCTCCATAAGACTTCAGAAAAGTCCCTGTTGAGGAAGCCACGGAAAGGCGGGTCTTCTAGACCAGGAGTCCCCACCTCCTGGGGCCACGGACGCGGACTGGTACAGGATGGTGGCCTGTTAGGAACTGGGCTGCACAACAGGAGGTGAGGGGTGGTCAAGCGAGCGAAGCTTCACCTGTATTTGTAGCCGCTCCCCAGCGCTAGCATCACCGCCTCAGCTCCATCTCAGATCATCAGGCGTTAGATTCTCAAAGGAGCACTGGTCCCTCGTGCCAAAAAGAATGTGGACTGCTGTCCTAGATGGATGGTGATGGTCTGAGATTCCTGGGGCCACTGTTAGAAATGACCATGAACTTGATGCCTTAAACGACAGAAATGTATCGTCTCCCAGTTCTGGAGGCCAGATGTCTAAACTCAAGGTGTGGACAGGGCCAGGCTCCTTCCAGAAGCCCCAGGGGAAGGGTCCTTCCTGCCTCCTCCAGCTCCTGGGGGCTCCAAGCATCCCTGGGCTGGTGGCTGCACCACTCCAGTGTCTGCCTCCGTGGTCACGTGGCTTCTCCCTGTGTCTCTATCAAATCTCCCGACACCTGTGACTGCATTTAGTGCCCACGAGAATGCTGTCATTTCAAACCTTCACTCAACTACATCCACCACGACTCTTTTCGCAAATAACATCGACAGGCTTCGGGGGTTAAAACGGAGACGTATCTCTGAGGGCGCTCGCTCAGCCCATCACAGAGACACTCACATTCAGGGAGAACTGACTGTGCTTCGTGGCTTGGAGCCAGGAAGAGGTATTGGGGAATCCCCAGGGCCACCAGGAAGGCATCCCAGTGTCCGGCTGGACCGGTTACTCCTCCGGCGTGCCATTAGGGTAGGCTTGTCACCTGTTCTTCACCATGGTGCTATTTAAAGGTGCCGCCGGGGCCATGTCCGTAAGCCTGGGCCACGGGAGCAGGGGGTGTGGGATCAGAGCCTGGGATGTGTCCTGTGTGGGGCCTTGGGGAAGTCACTGTCCCTCCCAGGCCTCAGTTTCCCCACCTATCAGCGATACCTCTTGGCTCTGAGTCTGTGAAGGTTTGCTGTACTCAGTATTCAGGGCTTAGGGCATGGGGTGGCTCCCAGCGAGGCTCGGGTGTGTCTCAAAATAAACAGGTGTGGGTATAGATGGGCCCCACTCCTAAGGCCTCCCACGGGCAGCTCCAGACACTGGGGATGGGGCGATGGCCTTGGTCAGCATCTGTGCCCCCATCAGCTGGCCACAAACATGCCCTCGTGTCTGTCCTCCCATTGGGCCACCTACTCAAATACCTGTGCGCGCACACTGTCCCCAAACGTTCCCCTGCTCCTGTACCCATACGCTCCTGCGCCACCCCTCGCGAAGCCCCCCGCCCGCGGGCCTGGCTCTCGGGAAGCTCCAGTTTGGAGGGCAGACCGGTCCCACCTGGGCACGCCAATTCAGGGCCGGCCCAATCTCTGACCCTGCAGCAGCTCCACTCCTCCCTGTCTCTCTCTGTTTCTGTCTCTGTCTCCCTCCGCGTCTCTGCGGCCCACCTCTCTCACGCTCGCACCCCACTGACCCCGAAGGCCAACCCGGTGACTCACGGACACGCGCCGCGCTCCCCGCCGCGCGAGACAGACACGCGCGAGGCCCAGGTGGGTTGTCCCGAATGGGCCCCGCCCCTCATCCTGGCCCCGCCCACACCCTGGCCC